AATAAATATTAAATTTCAAATTAAATTTTCAACAATTATTTCAAATTACAATTAAAAAAATTAATTAAATTTGATGAACGAAAGGAATATCATCCAAAACTATTAGTAAAATTAAAACTAAAAATTTTATTTAAATTCAACGACTAAATAAATTATTATTTATCAAAAATTAATATTAAAAATAAATATTAAATTTCAAATTAAATTTTCAATAATTATTTCAAATTACAATTAAAAAATTAATTCAATCTAATGAATGAAAAGAATATCATCCAAAACTATTAATTAAATTAAAAGTAAAAATTTTATTTAAATTCAATGACTAAATAAATTATTATTTATCAAAAATTAATAATAAAAATAAATATTAAATTTAAGTTCATAATTAAAATTATTATTTCAATTCGATGAACGAAAAAATTATTATTTATAAAAAATGAGGAAATAAAAATATTAAAATAAAAATTAAATGTAAAAACTTTATTTAAATTCGAAGACTAAATAATTTATTATTTATTAAAAACTAATAATAAAAATTATTTAAAATTAAATTATTAAATATATGAAAAAAATTGGACTGAAAAATTAAAAAAATAGAGGAGTGGGCCGACAGTCGGCCCACTAAGTTGGGCCGGCTGAACAATCTGTATGGACCGATGTTATAACAGTCGGCCCATACCGACTGTTAACAGTCGATTTTCCACAAAAAATGCCGACTACAACGGCAGCTGGCAAATGCCCTGTTCTCGTTGGAAAATCTCCATCTCCAGCGAGAAAAGCTTCCAAATTTACAAAATCAATCACTAAATCACTGTCTAAAACATATATTACCTATATAAACAACAATATATTGAAAAAAAACTCTCACAAATGAATCATTCATACCTTTTATCAATATCTAAACATTAATCCAAGCAAATATTCAATATAATAATGGTTACCTTAATAAGAAGTAGTTCGACTACAATGGACTAGCAAGTTCTCCGACCGATTGGAAACCGACAGTCTTTTTTTTCCTTCACTTATGTGCGACTATTGAACAAATGGAAAGAGGATAGCCGAGGGATATTTTGGAATTTTGAGCTTTAAATTTAATTTTCATTTTTTTCTTTTAATTAAAAAGACAGTCAAAAATCACTTTGTAAATACACTTGGATTATCCGGTCATCTCCAACAACTTCCTCGTACTAACACTCGTACAATGAGCAAGTCCTCGCCTTTATACGTGTTTGCACCGGAAAAAGGTGTTCATATCCTTGACTCTCATAAACGCACGGGCACGAATGAGCCACAACCACGCCACACAGATGGAGAGGACAAGTTTTATCATTTTAATACCATCGATCAATAACTAAGAATGCCAAGGCCAGAGACATCTGCCAATAAAAAGCTGAGGACCAGTGGTACAATTTTGAATCTACAATTCAAGTTAAATTTTTTTTTACCCCAAATACAGGTGACAAACGATTTTCATTTAAGAATATTAACTTGGAAGTTTAGAATAATTTTTAAACGTTAGGCGTTCAACATATGATATGAAAAGAGGGGGGGGGTGGGGGGTGGGGAGCCTAGAAATAAAATCTGCAACCAAAATGGATAAATAAACCCAAGGTCATCTAATACAAGGGAAACTGCAATAGCTACCAGTCAGAAAAGTAATAACCAAATGTCCAAGAATGCTACAATAACATCGTCACACCATTAACTTGTATCCATGGCCAAAAATCCAGAGTCAAACAACATGAGCATGAACGACAATGAACTCTAAAGCACAAGCGAAATCACCCTCCTCATGCCCCATGTTGACGCAACTCAGCTTCCCCATGTGCAAAGTGGCACCTATCTCCAAACGTGCAAGATCCATTTGAAAAATTCTCACAAATTTTGGTCTTGTAGTTGCTCCTTGGGGCAGGACCTCCGACTGGTTTTGCTGAGCCTCCAGTTGGTTTTGCAGGGCCACCAGCAAAGCCTATGCTGCTAATCAGGTCTCTTACCATTGCACTTGCTTCCTTAATTTGTTCAAATGTACCCTCAAGCTCTATGTTCCTAAGATTTGGATCTGTCTCATGATCTCGAATGGCTAACTTGGCTCCCGTTTGCCTACAAATCTGCTTCGAGTTCACTCCACCCCTCCCTATGATAGCACTGGCTAGGGAAGCATCCACGCTTATTTTGGCAGTGGCCGAGGCCCCAAAACTCCCAGCAGGAATGGGTGGATCCATTCTGCCACCAATTCGGCCAGGGATAGGTCCAACTGCACGAGGATCTTCCTGAGATGCTGCAATTGGCTTGCCAAGTTCCCACTCTCCATGAGCAAAGTGGCATTTGTCGCCGAATTTGCAGCCCTCTGCAGTGTTGAATTTGTTGCAAATTTTAGTTTTAACAGCTGTAGAAGCAGTCCCATTTGATATAGGCGGAGGTCCTGTTGTCCTAGTTGGAATAGGCACCAGGTTCATCATTTGGGCAACAGCATTATAGCCACCATGAACATAGTGAAGGAAGTGGCAACTCTCACCAAATGGACAACCGGCAGTGCTGCAATAAGAATAAGAGACATTGCAATTAGATGACAAAATGTACCATTAGGAAGGAAAATAATATTAGTGCATAAAGGAAACAGACGCTGCACCAAAAAAAAAAAAAGCAATATGCATATTAAAAGGTGTGTGATCAAACAAACAAGAACCAACTTTGCATAGTTAAATGTGTGAAATTGTGAATAGTACAAGCAATGGGCTGCCAGATACAAAGAGCCCTCTGGGTCCCAGCTGATGAGATGCGAAACTAGAGAAGAAAAAAAATGGAATCAAGTGAATATAGAGTGAAAACAAAATATATCTACCAATTTTGGAGCAGCTTTTGACGAGGTCAATCAAGTGAATGGACAGAGCTTAGAATTTGGTCATCTCTCTCTTTTTTATCTCAAACTAGTCATAGTTGAACATCCGTTGCACGTTATTCTGAAATACTTTATAGGTGTCATGAAAATAATATTGTAAGATGTAAGAATATAAAAAATAATTTGTATTTATTTTTGTGAAATAAACTTTTGATTCAAATGAGAGGAAGTCAATTAAAATAGTCTATCCATTTACCTTTTTTATTAGGGCTAGATAAAACTCCCTAACCGACCAATTCGAACCCGAACCCAAACCGAACCGAGCGATTCTTCTTAAATTAAATACCTGAACAGGTATCTAAATTGAAAATCGACGGATTTGGTTATGTTCTCGATACTAGATCAAGAACCGAATTTTCCTAATTTTTTTAATTAATTTATTTTAAATAAACTAAATTATTTTATTTTTTCTAAATAAATTTGTTAATTAGTTAATTTAGCTCAAAAAAATATATATATGATTTTCTTATTTCTAATTTCCAATTTCAGTTCAAAGCCAACTTAATCAAATTAACCTAAATTTTATTCAAATCTGTTACACTATCGTAGTGTCGTTTCTACCGTTTTGGAGAAATCGAATTGAAACTCGATAACGCCACTCTTAATTATTTTGAGCTTGCCATCTTCCTCTTCCTGTGATCTTAACAATCAAATCTATGAAGAACAAAACAAAGATTTTAAACTATATTATTTTGTAAGAGCTAAGATTGAATATATCATTAGCTTAATTAATGTAACTTTGTAAATATTAAAAAATTTAATTATAATATGGAACCTAGAAACCAAATGGAACTGAATTGAACCGAATCCGAACGATTCCATAATTAAATTTGGACCCAACGTATCTACTTACTAAATACCCGAAAATTTCGGGTCCGGTTCAGTTCTCGGTAAAACTGAACCAAACCGAATCGGACCATGTTCAGTCCTACTTTTGATCTGAACTAAACATCCAACGAATACCATCATTTCTTCATATTCACTTAATATGCACTGAATATATAAATTGAAATTATTTATTATAGATACGCATTACGTCACCTCCCCATTTACCTTCTCTGTATCTTAGCATTCATTGAACAATGAATTTGTCAAATATGGTCAAATAAATTAAATACAAATTAAAAACGAAAAGTAGGGTAATGAATGTGTCAGATGTACATTCATCAAAACTAAATAGTTGACAAAATAATTAATAATAATATTGTTCAAAGGGTTCAAATGATTGATAAATTAAATACATATTGAAAAATGATAAGTATGGCATTATTGAAATAATTAAATACATATTGAAAAATAAAAAGTAAAATATTATTAAAATAATTAAATTATAGTAAGGATAAAATCGTCCAAAAAATGATTCTCACTTGATAATATTTTTTTTTTATAAGTAATCAAATATTTTATTAATCATGGATAATACACAGAAAATGTATTATCAATTAATACAAGACAAAAACAACATAAAATTGGCAAGCCGTCTACGTGAGTAATAGCCACGGCCTCACTTGATAATATATTTAATAAGGGGATTTCAACCAAAGGACTATTATTCAGTTAAACTACTTCAATGTCAAAGTAGTTTTTATCTTATAGATCACATAAGTTTCTTAACAGTTTTTATGAATACAGGCACGATTTGGTTTACAATTTGATGGATGAGAAACGGAAAAAGCCACAAAAAGAAGACTTGGGAAAAGAAAAAAAAAAATTGAGGGTAGAAAAAAATATGTTTTCTAGGACGGAGACTGAATCAGAAACTGCACAATCATAAAGACTACATAAAATGCTCGAGCCAATCAACATTACTGGAGCATCGTTAAATTATACCTTCTGCCCCAGGTTTCTTACCACTTATTTTCAAACAAGACTATCCTCCCTCCAAGTTTTACATTATTAGTTTATTATAAATTCTTATTCAGCATCTCTGTCCCAACTCCTTGGGGAAGTATATGAAAAATTAGATTCTTATGTTTGTTAGTTCGGTTTGAACAAATTTCCTTCCAGAGCTAATTTTTCTTCTCTAAAGCCGAAGTTCCTAAAGCATGTTACATCTATCATTCCAACATTAGTACTCCTAGATAAAAATAGAAATCATTGAAATCTAGCAACCAAGCAATAAAGGGTCACATTGGCAACGGTGTTTAAAAAGGCTAAAGTGGGAATCAGGGTGTTTTTGCCTCTGTTAAGTGATGTATCTGAATAAAAATCAATAAAATGATAAAAACTAGAAAAAAAAATTTATAACTCAAAGTAATCCCTAATTTATCTAAATAATCCATAACATCACGTGTCAAGAAAATTTAAATTCTAATTTGCAACTAGAAACATAAAATGGACCAATAAAGTAGCAAGTAATTAGTAATCTGGTAAGAACCCTACTTGCAGTCATTGAAATTCCAGCAATTAGAAGAACAAAAGGATGCGGAAAACCAAAACAATAGAACTATTATAAGGCTGATTTGTATTGCTGTAATTTAAACAAGTACTGGAAATAAACAAACTGTTATGAATGCAAATAACAGTCGATAGGTAAACTAAAGGATATTTGGGTATTCGAGAGACCCAATTCTCTCCACCAGATTCTTCCCAATATTTTTCCTCCCTAATTCATTCTACCTCCTCTATTTATAAGTATTTTGTAACCAAATCTAACAGAATTTGTTACTATTAACTGTTTCTCAATTCTTCCAAGTCCTTTTAGAGCTTGATAGGATTCTATCATAATCACATAACAAGACCACTAACCCACAACCAGAACTAACGGTTAAGCAAATGAAACAAGTTATAGAGATTAAAAATTGACCTTTAAGAAAAACGAAAACTCTAGAAGAAAATAGAAACTTAGAGACGAACAAGAAGAAAAGTTGCAAAAAAGTTGCCACTTGACTTTAGAGTTTATCACACGTTAGTTGTAGGACTAGTTCACTTTTTCTATTCCCAAATAACCAATTTTATATTTCTAATTTTGAAGGCTGATAGTGTCATAAAAGGCTCAAAAAATCTTAGATTATTCCAGGCTAAAAAACCAGTCTAATAAGTCAAGGTTGTACAAAGAAAACCTGGAGAAGAAAACCCTTGAGAGCACAGCCTAGGGAGCACGTACTAACTTGCCTTAGAGACTTATGCCTAGAGGCATGAACCTCAGTGACTCGAGGCATAAGCCTTGATAAGTGGCCATTGATACATAATCTTAGAGGTTCTTTACAAACGCCAGACGGAGCATGGATCAAGTCTTAAGCCAGCTCAAGGCATAAGCTTCGACGCTTTTTAATACAGTCATTGGTATAATTAGGAAAGCAGAAGTTGTTACAACAACAGGTACTGCAAGGCTGAAAGAACAACCTCAATTAAGGCAATACTGACTTCTTATGGGATACTAATATCAGTGTTTAGTAACTTCAAACTGCAAAGCTATAATTTGCATTTCAACCAAGCAAGATTGCTTAACAGAATTTTCCACGATCAATATTAAGATAAATATTTCATGCTAGAAAATAAACTTGCAATGGAACAAATTGCAAAGTCCCTCTTTACATAATATTAATAGGCCAGTTAATATATTGATATTTTGGTATGCTATAGGACTTAAAAACATCTTATTGATATGGATAAGCAGTGCCTATATTCATTTATTATCAAGAGAGGATAGCTTGGCACTATAGTGTTTTAACTGCTCATAAGGCAGAGAGCTACAAGGCTGTTTAAATTTCATAGATCATGAGAAATTACAATGCCTACATTGCCTAAAAACAATTGACAATTCCATAGCTCATGTGAAGTTTGCACTTCAAAATTAAAATCATATAGTATGTTTACTCATGACAATAGTGGAACATTATTATAATTCTGAATACTAATGAATGCTAAAAAGTTAAATTTCAATTATTCATATTAGGTAGGTGAAGATTTGAACCTGAAAAACTTCGTGCATGGCTTTGATTTGCTTCCTATACCACTTGACAAGGAGTCCATTTCTGTTACAAAACATTAATTACTTTTTCCCAGTTAGATTTCCTTTGACTCTTACCATTGATGCCAAACATATAGATACCATCTTGACAGCCACTAAAAACAATTAATATCACGAAACCTTGCTAAATGCACTCAAAGAGTAAGATCATGCTGGTATCCTAATCTTGGAAACGTTTTGAGATACATTTTACCGCAAGAATCCACTGCCTATTAAATTAATTTAAGAGATTAATCCATGTAAGATATTTTTCCATTGCTCAATAGTTAGCATTGAAAATGAAAGTTATTGAAGGTAAATTTCCATTTTCCAAAAAATTATACTATTCTTTTCGGAAGCTCACTGTCTCTTGCTTAAGTGTCCAGAAAAAAATAACGAACTTCAGCAAAAGACTATTCTCTCACTTATCCAAAATATCTAATAGAAAGGACAAAAGATGATTCGTTTCTCCAAGTCCTTTAGAAACAAAATCCTACAAAAATAGAATTCCACACCAATAAATTGAGTCAGAAAATCCAGTAAATTTACTGGAAAATACAGTAAGAAAATCAGAAATTTTACCTATGATAAAAAATCCTAGTAATACACAGATAATCATACATCTGTATACATATCGAGCGAAAAATATGAAACTCTAGAGGAAATTTTAAAAGTAGAAGTAAAAAAATAATCAAACCTGGCTTAGGTTTCTTGAAACCACCATAGGCATTAAAAGTTGCTTCGCCTCTGCTTCTTTTGCGAGTGTCCATATCTTTCAGTACACAGATCGACTTCGAACCACCAAACTTTCCAAAGCAAAAGAAATTCGAATTTAACACGAAATAGCGGAAAATGCAGAAACCTCTAAAACTATGAAAATTTTGAAGCTTCAGCAAAAAAATAATAATAATAATTGTACAGGCCAAAAACCCTACCCCAACACTCGTTCGAGTTCTAGGGTTTTCGTGAAGAGAGAGAAAAAGAATTTAATAAATCCCAGGATATTTTGAATTTTTAAAGGGCACACGGATTTGGAAATGATAAATTATACGATTCTTACAAAAATAGAATGAAAAAAGGAAGTCAAATATTTTGACTTGATGTAACAAATAATGAT